CGTAGGACTCAGGGCGGCTGACAATCTATTTAAAATACATACAAAACAATACAAATTTAAAATTAATTAAAAGGAATATTTAAATATTTGTCAAATTTTAAAATATAATTAAAACCCCCCTAAAAATTACCCTAGGCCAGTCCTGCAAGCTGGAATAACCAAGTCTTGAGGGCGCGGCGAAAGGAAGGGAGATCAGGGACAAAGGCTGATTGTACAGGATGCTATTTGACATAGCTGTGTGAATTTTTAAAAAATAAGGATAGGACAATTTGGTCAGGAATTTTATTGCACAGGGAAGGGAATTTAAACTGTTCTTCCTGTATTGCAATCTTGGTCAGTCAAGTTCCTTTTGGAAATGAAAGGTTAATTTATTTGCACTAAATAACAACTACTGGAGGGATTTCAACCAAATCTGCAGGGCCAATAGAATAATCTAATTATCCCTTCTCTCAGGGCCTATCATAATACTATATGCATCTTCCCGATCTTAGTCTCAGATTTCAAGTGCTTAATTGGGATTCTCATTGTCTTAAAATTATGCCCTAGTGCTTCTTCTCCCCCCCCCCCATGCATGCCATCTTTTTAAAATACAAACACTCTTTCTGGACAGGAAATGAATCTGTCCAGCAAAGTTTGAAGAAACTATTTGAAGCAACTTTTGGGAGCATATTAGTAGTGGAGGCACTGGGGAGGGTGCCAGTTCACACCAGTTCAGCAAAACCAATAGCTATTTTTTTGTTGCCCAGGCTCAGAATGGACTTATGGAAGCAGCATCCACACAGAGAACCGGTTGTTCACATATTTGAATCCCACCACTGGAAAGGCATTTTGCCCTTCCTGCCCTCTGATAAGCAGAAATGAGGCAAGAGGAAGTAGCCAGCAAGCCTGCGGACAGCATTAGGGGCTTGAGTGTGACCAAGATTGCTGCAGAGATTCTATTCCTGCCTGAACAAAAAGAGATTTTATTTCCTTTACCAAAACATAACATATAAAAGCTAAATTGATTGAACAAACCCTGATTTATCAAAGAAACAGTTGGTCTGAAAAATTGTTCCAAAACCATTTATCTCCCACATATGTTTGATGTATTTCCCCAACTGTTGTGATGCATTTCTGTGCCAGTTGATTTTTCATTATTTGGAATATATTCTCAGTTAAGAGCAAATAATAAAATAAATATATATTCCTCTGGATATTCCTCACTCAATAACTGAATATGTTGTTTCTTTTGGGGCTTAGGAGAAGATTGCTCCCATAATGGTGAGCACTGCTACATCCCCACTTATTCTATTGGGGAGCTGTTACTTTGGACTTTGACAGACAAAATGTGTGCTAGGAAGAAAAGCAAACATTTTTTTCTGCACCATATTAAAATTTTAAAGTACCTTCTTTTTCCTAAACTTCAAATGTAGTTACTATATTATGAGTGTAAAGTATAATTATAACTTTGGATGAGGTAATAATCTGATTAAGAAATCAATAAAACCCATGTTTGATTTTAATCTATGTTTCCTTAACACTGAAGGGTAAGCCTAATTAGCAAACCCATGATTCTGGAAAAATATTACATCAAATTAGTTTTTTAGGTATTTATACTTTCCCACGACATTATACCTTTTTGTTTTCTTGCTCACGAAAACCAAACAGTTCCATTTTGAAATTGTGCTGGTTTGTGTTGAACACAGCCAGAAAAGCACTTAATGTCACCAACAGATGTTTCGCTTTGCTTTTTTGCAGCAGATGGACACTTTTGCTTTTTCTTTCCCAGGAGGAAATGCTAACAGGATTGTGATCCAGCCATGACATCATAAACTGTGACAGTTTACTCTTGAATATCAAACTTTTATCACTGCTATGCGATCTTGCCATAGAGTGCAAATATTTAGGACACCAGCTGTACTACTGTTGTACACACACGAGTACTGATATCCTGCTTCTGTCAATCCTAGATTTTATTCTACGTATATTCATGCTTAGTAAAAGAGTAAACTCTTTTGTACTTTACCACAGTAACAATACCAGTGGAAAGTTTATACACTGTATATATACTAACTCACTATCTGAATTAGATTTTGCCATTGGTTGACAGTATAATAATATGCATCCATCTGGAATATCTATGGAAATTGAAAATTGTGCCAGGTGAAAAATATAAATCAAGATTTTTACCTCTAGAAAATGACTCCCCTATTATTAAACTCTCTCTTGTTGAATTACTACTTCAGGAACTCAGAATCCTCCAAAACCCTAGAGCAGTGGTTCTCAACCTTGGCCACTTCAAGAGGAGTGGATTTCAATGCCCAGAATTCCCCAGTCAGCTGTGCTGGCTAGGGAATTCTGGGAGTTAAAGTCCACCCCTCTTCAAGTGGCAAAAATTGAGAACACTGCCTAGAGCAATGCCACTCAGAGCTCCTGATAGGATCACCCTTGTTTATATCAAAGGTGGGGGGAAACTAAGAAATCCAGAGCATGAGGGCAGGTGAAGTTCTGCAGGTATAGGAAAATCTAATCCACCCAGAAGTAGTAACTTCAAAATTATATCCAGAAAAAAACCATGACAATCAACTTCTGTGTTGTTGCCAAAAAGCCCACATAAACATAGCTGAAATGTTTAAATCAGTCTGGATGCCAAATAAAAAGACATCAAAATTGGAAGGCACTCCTGTGGGGAAGAAAGTGAAGCTTCCATAAGCAGATGTGGAGAGCGTGGCATAGGAAAATAAAGGTAGCAAGGAAATCTGGTTTCAACATTACTAAAAGAAGAAGGAAGAAGAGTGTCACCTAGATATAAAAAATGGAATGTGAAAAATATGAATCAAATATAACTTGAAATTCTCATAATTGAAATTATTCTTATTAAACTGGTTGTTTGAGAAATAAATGAATTTAAATGAATGAGAACAGACCCAGTATGTGATTACCTGATAATAGAAATAGAGGAATGGAGAAATCGATTGGCAATTATGTTTAAATTATGCACCGGCTATAACCCAACATACAAGAGGATCATATCATTTAGAATTAATGGATAACCAATGAACATCAGTTTTATACAAGCATACTTATAAGCAGTAGAAAAAGACATTGAAGAATTTGGTGACAAATTATAAGATGTGCTCAATCAAGAAAAGACAGCGTACTATTAATCAGTGACTGGATAGCAAAAGTTGGAAAACTGAGATTCTGGAATCACTGGAACATTTGGATTGAGTAATGAAATAAGGAAGGAGAAAGGCTTATGGGGATTTCTGACAAGATTATTTATTTATTGCCAAAGCCTGCTTCAAGCAAAATAAACTCAGCTTCTACAAAGAGATACCAGCAGATGCAAACCCTGGAATCAAATCAAATAAATAATAGACAACAGAAGATGAGTAAATGCAATCCTATCAGACAAAAGTACAAACTACAGAACAAACAATAAATGATGTTAAATATGCAAGTTAAGCTTGGAGAATTAATGAAAAGAGCAGGATGAGTGGAATAATATCAGTCACAATATAGGATAAATATAAGGAAGAGACTAAGTATATTTACCTAATGTGTAAAAGAACATAAGATGCTATGGGAAGAGTTAAGGTATACTGTTATGAAAGCTGAAGCAAGAATAATATTATCAAAATTTTGAAGTGAATCCAAATGACTTTCAGAACAAGTTGTGATAACCGAAGAAAAACAGAAGACAAAAAAATTAGGCAATATAGAATTCCAAAATTAAGCTAATTGAAGTAATAAACAAAGCACAGCTAAGCCAAATAAATAAAGGTCAATAAACAATACCTCAGTCAAGAATATCAACAAATAAAGAATAATAACAAGAAAAGAAAAATAAGAACTGTTTTTAAGATCAGAGAAATATTCATATAGCCACAGTAGAATTACTTGAAAGAG